ATCACAGTGGGGGACTCTGAATCAGCCTGTGCTATTTCCTGATCTTTCTGGGTCTGAAGAAGAGCCTCTAGGAAGTCTACAGCTAAAACAAATCTTCTAACCCCACTCTGGCCTGAGGACCTCAGAGCTACATTGAGGATGGAAAAACAGACCAAGGGAGTTCATCTCCTAGGCGACCAGTTGTCTGTATCCCCCATGACACATGGCGGAAGGCTGCTTCTAGAGGGATGTTTTCTGGGTTAGCCATTGGCACTCTACCCAAGGCAAATGATTTCTTTGTCCTCCCTGGTTTGAGGATACATTTTAGGAATAGTCCTTCCTGGATGAGCATGGATGAGCTGATTGACTTCAGTTTCTGGTGTGGGGTCTTGTGATTCGAATTAGGGATTGGCAAGGGCAGGCATCTCCTATGGGGGCTTGCATATTGTCCTGCATGGGATGGGGCAGGCCAGGGCAGGTGCCCCTGAGGTCCTGCCTGCTCATTTCCGATTTGGTCTATTCTTAGCCCTTGACACAAGGTGTTGGCCGTGTGTAGAGGGAACACCTATGGTTGTCCGTCTGCTGCCCTCAGGAGCTGCCATTAATAGCACTCCCAACCTTTGGCTCCAGCACATCTCAGCCACTTCCTGCCAGCCAGTGCAAGGAAAGGTACAGGGAGCAAGAAGGCACAGCTCCTTCCCAGGAGGAGGGAAGAAGCAGATGGTGCCCGGGAGAGGCAAGTAAGACAGACAGAACCGGGCAGGCAGGGGAATAAAGCTGCAGGCAGATCAAGGCAGTGCCCTTGTCTTTTGATATTTGGCCAATAGCACAGATGCAGTGTTTTAAGCAAGAAAGAAAACCTTTCAGATAGCTACGGACGGGTGAGAGTGAGGCTTATGTTGCCAGCGCAGGAACTTAGATGACGCATCATCTTTTTCCCCAGTGAGGGGCTTCGGAAAAAAATCTCTGAGAGGGCGGAGTTGCCATTTCATAAGTTTTGAAACTGGGACAGGCACACATGGATTTAGGATGCTCTGGGGACAGTCCTCTTACAAGCTTAGGGCTCTGTAGCCTGTGATAGGCTAACCACTGCCATTTCCACGTTGCGCTGTGCATGGGAGCGGAGTGCGCTGCTCTGAGGGGTCCGTTTTAGATGAGGAGATAATGACTCAGATGGTTAACCCTGAAAGATTTCCCGTTTTGTTCCTTTCATTCACACCTGGACCTTAAGAAAAGGAGCCGATGCTGGTTTACATTCACTGCCTACAGGGTAGCAGAGTGTGCTTCCTGCCCGCAGAGGGCTGCCTGAGAGACTCTGGTCATCAGGAAATGTTTGAGAACGAAAGGAAGGCTGATCAGGCCACTCCGGCAGGGTCTCTTCCTGGTCTCCCTCCGACTCATCAAGATCCTCCTGGCAGCTTTCTAGGCTACACTGGGAATCTCACTTGAATCCAGGTGAAATTAATGGCAGTGAACTCTTCACAGTCTCCATATTTAAATCCCTTCCCCCAACCAAATCTGGTAGTGTTATTTTAATATATATATATATATTTTCAGTTTGGCAAAGAAATAACGAATTTTAGCTTCTTGATAAGAAAATCAAATGAGTGTATATAAGGCATGCTCCCCTCCTCGTGAAGGCTACCTACCACCCAGGGCTGCTACCATCACACCTCAGGGGCCTGAGAGGGCTCACTTTGAGTAAAGAGCCACTTTCTTTGGCAAAGAAAAATGCCATGGTGTGTGTCTACCTCATTAGAGAGAGCCAGGAGCGGGAGGGCGTGAACGGCCCCGCCCTGTTCTCTTTTAGGACCTGATACCCTTCCTCCAGCCCAAAGGCTCTGAGCCTGCCCTTGCTGTCCTCCTCTTACATCCGTTTCTGGGTACTGGAAAGAGAAAAGTTTGCTAGGGGCTGGGGCACCAGGGCTTGGGGCTCGTTATAGAGCCCCCGCCCCAGGAGCAGGGAGCAGAGGAGATAAAGAGGGAGTGTGCTTCCTCTATCAGGCAAGTGAATGCCGCAGGGGGTTTCGATGGATACATAGGAGTGAAGTCATGCCTGCTTAGAGGTTCTCCAACAAGATCAGCATCAGAAACCTCTTCTCCTGCCCCTATGACCATGTGGGAGAGAGTAAAAGTAGAGGAAGAAGGGAGAAAATGATATCATTTGGTGCTTTTAAAAAAACCCACACATTTTTCTCCCCGAGAATAAGGCCCCTGCTGGGACAGGGTCTGATGCCTGTGACATGAGATGTCATATGGCCAATAGACTCACCTTCATGATCACAATCCAGACAAGTATTTACACTCTTTGAAACCACCCTGAGACTCAAAGGGGCCATGGCTATTGAGGAGACAGGTTAGGCCATGGGGCCATAGCGTATTGGGTGACTTTGTGCTCTGAGATGTTGAGCGTGGGGAAGCTGGCAGGTGTGGAGGAGCCCCCAGGGCCACAAGGAAATGTTGTCTTCCGTGACTGAAAAGGGACATTTTGTCAATGTGTGCCATCAAGAGAGATGGGGCCTATTCCCACAGCAGCCCTGGTGCCTCTGTGGAGAGCAAGCTGAACCTTTTGGAGACAGTAGAGGAATGTATTTCAGATACAAGAAACTCTTGGCATGAGTAAGCTCAGTGGGGGCTCATGTGATGAATTTGAACCCTCTGAGCTTCCCTCATCATGGTCTTAAGGACATGAGGCCCAGAGAGGAGACTGGTTTGCTGAGCAAGGGAGAAACAGAGCTTGCAGAAATGATGCTACAAAACCACCCAGGTGTTAGAGATGCTACTGTATTTCTGAGACTGAAAAGAATCAAATTTTCTGTGCGGTTGGAGGCATTTTTGCGGGGGGGGGGGGGGGGGCGGTGGTGGCAGTAAGGGGCATAGCTTCCTAGGTTGTTCTGTAGCTCCCAGTACAGTGTGCTTATCTGCTACCAGAACCAAATATTGAGAGCTCATTTATTTTCAGCAGAAGTTCCTGGGCAAAAAGTAGGTCCAAAGATTTTTTTTAAAAAAAGAATATCATAGGCGTCCCCCTAGGGCAGTGGTCGGCAAACTCATTAGTCAACAGAGCCAAATATCAACAGTACAACGATTGAAATTTCTTTTGAGAGCCAAATTTTTTAAACTTAAACTATATAGGTAGGTACATTGTTATTAACTTAATGAGGGTACTCCTAAGGCTTAGGAAGAGCCACACTCAAGGGGCCAAAGAGCCGCGTGTTGCTCGAGAGCCGCAGTTTGCCGACCACGGCCCTAGGGAGTACCTGGGGCTATATGAGCAGCACCTCATCACCCTTAAGGGGTTTATCGGGGCTCAGGCAGGTGGCAGACTAAAGGCGGATTCCAGTGGAGTGGCCTGGAGGAGCTGGGTTTTTCAGGACCAAAGTCTTCTTGGTAGAAAGACCCACTTCCCAGGGTGAACTCAGAGCACTGAGAGCGTGGATTGCCACACTGCCACCCAGTGGCCAGCCCCTCACTAGGGGAAGCACACTCATGGGGGAGGTGATGCCTGGGACCAATGGAGAGGGTTTCCTGGTGGCTAAAGACATGGGGGTTGGTAGGGGCTGACGATACTGAGAAGATAGATGCAAAGTCTACCTGGCCATTCTCTGTATGTTTCCCTCCCTCCCTCCTTCCTGCGTTTTCTACTTCTTTCCTGACTTTTCTTCCTCCTTCTGGTTCTTTGCAACCCAGATGCTGCTCTCAGAGGCATGTTTTCATTTGCATCATTAGGAAAGGAGCTGGCATGACGAAGGGGGTGGGAAATGACATTTCACGGGACAAGTGTGCCTTCCTGCCTGAGTCTTGTAGAGGCCGATCCAACAAAGGTTGAAAGAAAGGATTTGGGAAAGGTCCTGTCATCGACTCATTTGTTCCCAGTGGCTACAGCCCCAGAGGGTCCTCCCTGAGTTGGAAGTTATCACCCCAACTTTAGGTGCTCCAGGTCAACAAATGTGAGCCATTTTCTCATTTGCATGTAAACATAAACACACACACACACACACACACACACACACACACACACACTGGATGTGCAGTAGAAAAATAGAGCTGCAATGTGTTGAAATGAAAGAGAAAGAGAAAGGAAATAAATCCAAGAAAAGACAAACAAGCCAAAGTGGCACAGGTCCCAAAGGGATGCACGGGGGACAGCGCCAAGGGTTGCTCTAGCCACAGACGTCCCCAAGGCTCCAGGCACAGGAGCCCCAGAACTGAGGCAGACAAGAGCTGGGACCCAGTGAGCCCGGATGGCTCCTCTCACATGGCCTCCCGTCCTCCAGCCTCAGCAGAGTAAGCGGCGAGCTAAGCCCTCAGTAGGGAAGCAGAGTCCAAAGGAAAAGCACCTCCAGCCAGACTGGAACTCCCAATTAACCGCTGGGTGGCCCAGGGGCCTGGGCCTGGGGTGGGCGCAAACAGCCCCACGTGGCTGGTCTGCACCAAGGCCTGGTGTGCTCTGTGCAGCGTGCTTCCTAGTGGGTGGGCCCCGGGCCCACAGGCTCTCTGCACCTCTCCTCCCGCCCCTCCTTCCCACAGGGGGAGCACCCCAGGGGCAACCGAGTCAGGGAGGGGGACAGGACAGCACTGCAAAGTTTAGTACCAATAAAGGAAATCAAAGAGATCTGGACAAAGAAAGGAACATCCAGATTTACAACTAACTAAAATTTAAAACTTATTTTTAAAAAATCTTTAGATAAACAGTGAAGAAGGTAAGAAGGAGAAGCCTCTTTGAATAATAATTTCTTTTTAAAAAACCCACCAACATAAAAACAAACAAACAATTCCTCAGAGTTTGAACTTCTCTTAAGAATAGTTCAATGTGAGGTCTTGCACCCTAAACAGTTATATCTGGAAATTTAAAAAAAATCGCAGCTACACACAACAAAGACTAAGAGTATTTGCTAAAAAATAGTGTGTGTGTGTGTGTTTGTATATATATATATATATTTATATATATATCTTTTTTGTAGAGATTTTTTGTTTTTGTGATTTTTTTCTTTTCCTTTTTTTTTTTTTTTTTTTTTTTGGTGCCCAAGTAGAGATACAATGGGATTGAAACGATGTCCTAGAACAGAATATTCCTTACAGGAGCAATACTTTGAAAAATAACATTTAAAAAATGGTTGAACATATTGCAACACCTCTCAAAATTCAATTTGGTACAATGAGAAAAATAATAAATCTTCACCCAAATGACACGGCCTCTAAGACCCAGAATATGCTGCTGGTGTGAGTCTCGCCATCCAGACAGGGGCTCATATTCCAGCACCACCCCCTCCTTCCTGCTCCCCCCTCCCTAGCCCTCTTACACTCCACCTTAGCATACCCAGAGTCTGCCTTAGAGCAGTTTTCCACATTTCTGGCAAGACCTTGCAGCAGACACATACACACAAATATACGTGTGCTGTGGACACACACACACACACACACACACACACACACACACAATTTCCCACTCACCCCAGATGCACCAAGTGAGCTGAATGAGTTTCAGCCAACCACAATGGTGAAAGACAGAAGCACCAAACAGTCTTTGAAATGGGTCAGTTATTCAATTTGACATGGTGGTTTTTTTTATATATATATATATAATCTAATTTTCCTCTGTGTTAATATTTTTAAAAAACACAAATGAAGAATGAAGAATTCTTTCCAGATCAATTTAAGGCTTCCCACCAAATGGAAACAGAAGAGGCCTTACACAATATCACGTGTGATAAATGTATACCTTTCACGGCCTTAAAAGGACAGACCAAAATCGTTTTTTGCCAGTCACTGATTAAGTATTGTGCCTTTAAATTGATGTTGTTCTTTTTGCTACTATGCTGAGTTTTATTATTACTGATTTTCTTTGATTAAATAGATGGAAATCTTTAATTTGCTTTAGAATTTCCTGTTCTCATTGAATGATTGGGGTGGGTTTTTTGTTTGTTTGTTTGTTTTATTCTGTTTTGCTTTTCACCAGGAAACAAATGTGATCCGAACTAGGTGAATGGTAAATGGCACAAATCAACCTTCAAGGAGCTTTCCCAGCCATTTGAGTTCCAAATGGCCATTTGGCTCCTAGAAGGTGCTGTTAAGCTGGGGACAGGGACGGGAGAGCAAGGAGTGAAACGGAACAGAAATTGGGGTTTCTATGCCTTTGCTTTTGGTGAATTTGTTTTCTTCAATACAAATAGTCAGATAGGAAGAATAATTGCTTTGTGTTTTATTTGTCGGTTGGTTTTCGTTTTCGTTTCTAGATTTGTTTCATTTGATTGTTTAATTTCCCCTCTCTTGGTGCCAAAACCACCAGAGAGTTTTGCGTGAGAAAAACGTGACAGTACTTAATGAAACTCAGCACCTAAGGGCATAAGGCAGTTGAAGGTTTGTTTGTTTGTTTGTTTGTTTGTGTTTGTTTTATTTTGTTTTGTTTTGTTTGTTTTGTTCTTTCAATCAGCACCAATCCCATAAATGATCTACACTTGGTGTAAGGTATAAAACATTTTTTTTTTCTTTTGGAGTGGAGACAGCTCCTCCTTCTCCACCCTATGAACAATAGTGTGGGATTTTCAATACTGTTTCTTATGTGTAAAAAACAAAAGAAAGGTCTTCTTTTTGTTTTTACTTACAAAACATAGAGAATATCTTTGTATACATACAGCGACTGGAAAGAAAGCTTATCTGAAGGGGTTGTGACGTATTATTTTCTTTTTTTTTGTAGCGGTGGTGGTGGAGGTGGTGATGGTGGTGGTGGTTGTGATTTTGTGTATTGGGAGAAGGGAGGGTTATATTTCTTGCAAGCGGTGTTAACCGCAAACCAACTTAAGGTCCCCTTCTCAACTTGGGTCAAGACGCTCTTAGAGTGAAGACTCATACTGTAGCAACTCATAAAGGAGCGGTCCATCTCGATACCGAATGCCTACCGCGGTGGGGGTGACATACTGCAGAATGTTAATAGTCCTTCTCAACCTCCTGTCTACAAAATGAGCATCCCAAGCTGGGTATCTCTTCCTTGGCATGTCAATCTTAATGAGGGGCCCTTCTGGGTGGTAAGGACGCCCCGACGGGGTGGAGGGCCCCATGGGTCTCACTTGGAAAACGGGCAAGCAAGTGTCAGCCGTGAGATCCTCCTGTTGTTCCGTTACGGCTCTGGTAGGCGTGACCTGGGTCCCCCGGTACCCAGGGGTCTGAGGCGCCATGGGCTCAACATCGGGGGGCAAAGGGATGCCCCAGAGCAGCTCGGCACAACAGGAGCTGGCAAAGATCTTAGCTCGCGGCCCCATGGGATGCAGCACACCATAATATAAGAGCATCAGTGCGATCCCAGCCACAAAGCTAATAAAGACACAACACAGTGCTGGCACCGCATAGAAGTCAGTGGTCTCCGGGTTTCTGTAAAAATACCAAAGGAACGTCAAGGCAGCATTCTCGGTCAAGACTATCGTGTAATATGCAAACATTCGATATCGAGTCCGCCCTTCCTTGACGTTAAACCAGCAGAAAATGTACACAATCCCTACCACCATGTTGAAGAGGATCTCCTCCCACTTGGACATGCAGAAGTCTGTTCCGCCATGGATGATCCAGAAGGCCATGGCGCACCAGTGAACCACCACGAAGATCCCGAAGTAGAGCTGGAAGATGGAAGCAAAGAGGGCAAAAGAGATAACTCTGGATGAGATGGTGAAGAGGCGCCAGAAGAGGTGGATGAGGGCCCCTCTGTAGCTCATACTCTTCTTGTCGTCCCTGGAGTCCCGCAGCAGCTTGTGATAGGAGGCTAGCACCCAAGCCAGGGACATCAGGGAAGTCACAGAGGAGACACCTGCCGGAAAGACACAAACCCACACAGTCAAAACCTTGGATGTCAACTGCAGGGCACAGCAGGGCTGCCAGCTGAGGAGACGCCCACACACACCGAGATCTAAAGGAGGAGGGAGAAAGAAACACAGAATCAGGAACCGAACTTGGAGGTCACAGCTGCTCCCTAAGCTGACAGCTTTTGAAAATCTAGTTTCAGTTTCCACAACCCAGCCCAGAACTCCTGGAGATTCACTGCTCAAGAGTGAAGCTGAGGCTGACGTGCTTTGCCAAGGGGGTTGAGAACTGGGGCCACTGTGGTGCCTCATTGCATCTGCTGTGATGGGACCACATGTGTTCTATTTTAAGGAATTCCGAGTTCACGGGATCCTTGTTGTACACAGATGTGTGGCAGGGGATGGTGTCCTTGTCACCAGGAGCCCATGCTCTCAGAGAAACTCATAGAGGGGATCACCCATTGTGAAGGCTGACAGCTTACTCTCTGCCCCTAGATCCACACCCTTCTCCTGCGGGAAGGTACTGGAGTCACTCTTTTGCCTTTTCATCAGTTCACTCAGGCCTCAAGGAGCTCTTCACTAAACCTTCCTCCACCTAGCTTCTCCCTCCCTCATCCGCTCCCTAAGGACACCCTGATCAAGGACTCTGGGATAGTCTGTCTGTTTCGCTGGCTGCCTTTCTCACTCATTCTTCTCTCTTGGCCTCACCACGATCCTTGTTGCTTTCTCCAACAAACCACTGCTGCATGTTCTCTGAGATCTTACAAGGCCCCGTCCTGACCCAGCAGCGGTAAAACTCATGGTATGAGGATGCCTTTCCCCCACCAGCTTGGTTTCCAAGGCTCTGCATGGCATTCACTGCATTTCTCCTCAACAGGCAAGTGAATGTATCTGATCTCAAGTGATACTGGAATCACCAAGGGCAATTTTATTTATAATACTGCTTATTTGATATGAGTAACTAAATCAAACTACACACAATAAATAGTTAATAGAGTTTCTACAGACCCACCCATGAGCAAGCAATCGTTGGTCAGATATAATCATACAATCTCCTCTTAAGCAAGATACCCCATCACCACCCGACTCCCGCATGTGTTATCTTCACTCAGTCCATCTAGCATCTCTTCTGCTTTTCCTTTCTCCCATTTCAAAACTAAATGCAGCCAAACTCAACTGAGGTCCTGAATAGTGTTCCACAGACAACATCTACTTACCACATTCCCCACCCTCGCACCAGAGCATAATTCCCCACAACATTCTTCCAAGCTGAAATCAATGTTTCCTAGTCATTTTCTCTTAAGCTCAAAGGTCAGATCTAGGAGCCCATTCATCAAAAGACTAAGTAAACTGCCCCAGAGCATCAGGCTTCTGTTCATCTTCCCCAGGTCCCTGTCCATCTCTCCATTCATCTCCAAACCTCAATGAAGAATCAAAGTCCTCTGTCATTTTACACCCTCCCTGCACTGACCCATCTCACACAGCCCTACCCTTCCAACATTTCAAGGAGATGCTCTGGTTTGCAGCTTGCAGAACAGGATAGGGTGAAAACAAAAACCAGTATGTTACTATAACCATAGAAAAATCCTGGATGGTTAAGTTCTCCATAGAAGCCAATCTTGAAAACGCCTAATGACTTTCCTCTTAGTTTTCTGGAAAGTTCTGAACAGGGTACTTAGGTGTCCTGCCTTGCCCTTTGTACACACAAGGCATTTCCACAGCATCTGGTGAGGGCGTGGGTGCTCTGCAACCATGTCACAGTGGTTACGCTAACCTTTGAGCCTCCTCTGTTCATGTTGTCTGTTGGATTGGGGCAGAGAGGGAAATAGGTCCCCTTATGAGTCACATGATTTGGGCTGTAGGTTTCTGGAAGGCAGGGATGTGCAATCATCTTGATAGTCTATACTAGGCTTATTACTAACACTGGAACATCCTTGGAGAGTTCCTTTTAAACGTCTCTGTGACGTCACCCCTCTCTTTGTGAACTCATTTCTTGATGTGGATAATGATATGTCTCAGAGGTACTACTAACCCTTAGTAATCAGAGGGAAATTCTACCAAAGCTGACTGGGAAGACAGCCATCTACAAGCCAAGGTGAGAGGCCTCAGGAGAAACCAACCCTGCCAACACCTTGATTTTGGACTTCCAGCCTTTAGAACTGTGAGAAAATAAATATCTGGTGTTTTAGTCACCCAGCCTGTGGTATTTTGTTACAGCAGCCCTGGCAAACTAATACAGTGCTCTAATCCCATTTTTTATAGGAAGAAACAAGATGATTTTCAAAAAGTATACATCTGTCAAGAAGTTGAATCGGGATTCAAATTCAGAGTCTGACTCCAGTGGCCTTGAAAGTCACCACCGTACTAACAGGCCCTGCAGGCATTGCCTTGAAAGGGTCTGGGTGAGGGGAGAGGAAAGACAGTCTGGGCACACTGGGTGCAGAGGGTTTGAATCTTTTGCCAAGAGTGGACAAGAAGTACAGTACCCATGGCTATCTGATAGAAGCCCTTGATTATGGAACTAAAAACCAAATTTGAATTCTATTCTACTTTCTTCAGGGGAGTAACATTCAAGCCACAAAGAAAGAGGTGATGCCAACAGAATGAACTGAGATCACTTTCCCTCTGTTAAGTGATTAATCTTCCAAGGCCTGCAGTGTATTCCACTACAGAGGGAGGCAGTGTGGGGGTTTCCCTCTCTGCAGTGGCTCACTTGGAAGCTTTCTGTCTTGCCTGAGGTCAACCCAGAAGTCAATGCGTTACCCTGGCCAAGACCCAAGTTCACGGGAACCCGCTGTGGAAGCAGCCCGGTGGCCCCGTGGCCCCAGTGAAATTCTTGGATGGGCCTGGGAGCATTTATGATTTGCTTCTAGCTACAGCTGGATCACTTTCTGCATTCCAAAGATCAGGCTGGAAATTGTTAAACACTTCACGTTTGGCTGTGACAAGTTCTGGGCAGTGACCTTCATGGCTTGCTCACTTTTCCTGGTGCAGACCAGGAGGTGGGGCTTGCAGCTGGCCCACTGAGCTGACCGAGTCCAGCCCAGGCAGCTAGGAGTCACTATGCTGGAGCCTCCTGGGGGGCCACTCCCCTGAGAAAGGCTTGGGAGAGGAACCTTCAGGCTCTGATCACTGAACCTAGGATCTAAGGTTTCCAGGAATGGAATGACCACAACTATAACCAACAGAACAGAGCAGAAGGGGCGACACCATGCAGTTGGATACCCCTTACTAAAGGGGGGTAGCCATCAGGGAAGGCCCAATTTGGTGGTGACATTGCAATATCCAAGGGTCACTGTCAGTTGAACTGTTGCCAATTGGGAAACAAAGCAAAACAGTGTGTGTGGCTGTCCCATCATGTGAGAAGCACAGAGGCAGGTTATCTGAGAAAGGACGGGACCCTAAAATTGGAGGCTAGGGACAGATAACGTGAAAGATCCGGAGGCTATGATTCAGTGGGAGGGATCAGGGACAGCAGGAGGGCCCAGCCTTCAGGGTGACATAGGGAGGCTGAGGTTTGTGAAGTAGAAGCAGGGCCATGGCTCAGAACGGGTCAGGGCTGCATTGAGGGCCAGTGTATGGAGCCCCAAACACCACCAGAAAGGGACTGGGTAAAGAAA